AGTGTATCGCCATCTACATCCTACTACACCGTGTAGGGTGGTGTTCGACTTTAGAGACCTAAACCGCTTCTCTAATCGTGGTGGCTATCCTCAGAACTCTCTAGCCGGTTGCCTCCTGCTATTCGATCCTATGAGTATTTCATAGCTGGAGATCTATCTAAGGCATTCTGTAGAATGTCCTCTAGTATTAAGGATGTTCCATATGTTGGCTACACTTGTATCGGACCATACATCGTTCTATGGTCCCGTGTAGCCTTTGGCTCTACAGCAGCGCCTAATCAACTTGACGCTTCTATGGAAGATGTGATTAATGAGATCAAGGCATTGTCCAAGCTGGCTTCTACAGTTGAAGCTCCGGTTACTCGTCTATGTGATATTGAGCCTCATTTGGTTGAGCGTTGTCTACTGAGATCTAGCACTGAGGCCTTCTCCTATCTACAGGGTTGTCCACCGGTCCCCAAGGAGATCACACTGATCAAGTTTGTCGATGATGTCTATACCGGTGGATCTAACAAGTCTAGAGTTACATCAAGCTATGACTTCATTACCTATATCTCTAATGGTCACGACTTCGTCATTGAACCTAAGAAACGTTTTAACAGTTGGGAGCCTGTGATGGTCAACGATGTCGAAGAACGACGCCATCTACTTGGTTATGACTATTCTGCTGTCGAGGATTCCTTCTACCCTACTTTCAGTGGTGGTCAACTTCAAGGGAATCCTATGACCAAGCGACAGTCTTGTGCGGTACTGGCAAGCTTCTACGATCCATTAGGTCTAATAGTGGAGCACGATATGTCTGCGAGATCTATCTGGCGTAGTATCAACAAGTCCACTACTGAGTGGGATTCTACTATACCTTCTAGTCTCAAGGATGAAGTCTGTACGTGGGCAACACTATCAATGAGATTGGTCAAGTCTATGCCAACACCACGCTATATCTCCTTCGACTCCCCTCTAGTATTAAGCACTGACGCTTCCAAAGATGCCTGGGGAGTAGACCTGAGATCTACTTCAAACCTCTCTGTTCGCTTGGCTGCTAAGGGAGGTCTATTCAGTA